CTGGGAGCCTCCAGCAGCTCTGGGGACACTCGTGGCCCACCGTGAGCCAAACGCTGCGATTCACGTGCAATGAGGAGCCGACATGGGCCCTGCCGGGGAGCCGTGCCTGGGACTGGCCATCTTCAGGACCAAACTGCACAGAGACACTTCGGTGGGGGAGCACAGCCCAGACCCACCTTCTTGTTGTTGGAGAAGACATACAGGGCAAGGGGCTTCTCCCGACAGTTGATGAACTCAATGGCTTCATCTACGCTCTTCACAGTCAGAATGGGAAGGACCGGCCCAAAGATTTCCTCCTCCATCACCTTTGACTCCGGAGAAACGTCGGTGAGGATAGTCGGTGCTGAGGCAAACAGGAGGGCAGGAGATGGCGTGAGCAGGACAGAAGGCACAGTCCGTCACAGGGCCTCGTCCTTGGCACTGCCTGCATGCGACACACACCAGGCAAGCCACAGACACACGCGGCCCCCCAGAGGCCCCTGACACCAGCAGAAGGTCCCACCCTCCACCTCCCCTCCCCAACAGCTGCCAGAAGCACCTATGAAGCAGGAGGCCTCATCAACCTCTCCCCCGTGAGCTATCTTCTGCCCTTCCAGCAGGCCCAGGATCCTCTGGAAGTGACGCTTGTTGACGATCCTTTCGTAATCCGGAGACGACTTCACATCTTCCCCATAGAATTCCTGCCAAGGGGCACAACAGAAACAAAGTGCTCAGCAGACCGGCACAACAGCCACAGCTCCAGCAACTCAGACCTCAGCTGTAACAGGGACAACTCCCACCGCGCGAGGAACTCCACGCTCACCTGCAGAGTCACCTTGATGTTCTCCACCACCTTGCTCTGGATGGACGGGTCGCACAGGATGTAGTCGGGAGCAATGCAGGTTTGCCCACAGTTCATGTACTTCCCCCACGTTATCCGCCTGCAGGGAAAAGGAGATGGTTTCTCCATGCTCAGTCCCTTCCAAACCCCATAGCCCGGCCGACAGTGCCCGACTGACACCTGCGCTCTGGGGACAATGGCCCACCGAGAGCTTGCAACAGCCTGACCTGCAGGCGACGGCCAGGTCGCAGTCCTTGTCGATGTAGCAGGGGCTCTTCCCGCCCAGCTCCAGGGTGACGGGCGTCAGGTGCTTGGCGGCCGCTGCCATCACGATTTTGCCCACTGTGGAGTTGCCGGTGTAGAGGATGTGATCGAATCTCTGTGTCAGCAGCGCTGTTGTCTC